TAGGGTTTAGGGTTTAGGGCAAAGAACATTTAAAGGAACCCTAACCCCTAAAGCTCTAAACCCCTAAAACCCTGAAGGAATCAAGGAAGACTCAAAAGGAAACCCACAAGGAACCCTGTCCTTGCCACGACCTCGGCCGCCGAAACCGATAAACCCTTAAGCCCTAAACCCCCCAAACCCCTAAACCCCTAAACCCCCAGGCTTAGGGTTTAGGGTTCAGACCTTAATCGCTTCGGCCTCCTTGCCAGCGGCACCGAAGGGGCATTTGCAGTGCTTCTCGTCCAGCGACTTCAGCACGTTCATCATCTGCTGCCTGGTGGTTTGGGGGCTTAGCACCCAGAGGCTCCGATATCCTTTAATTAAGGAATATACCTTAAATTATAGTAGGATCCCTCATGAGATCTAAAGTATACCATTGCATTAAGGAAAATACCTTAAATTATAGCAGGACCCCTAATATGATTGAAGGTAGTATATTCCTTAATGAACGGATATTGGAGTCTTCGGTAACTCCTTGAAGTTTCGATAAGCATACTAGAAGGGTTCTATAAAGTGAGAACAGCTCACCTAAACCCCAAACCCTAAACCCCTTAGTGTTGAGGGCTTACAGGCTTTATGGGGTTTAAGGTTTGGGGCTTCGGCTTATGATCTGCTGCCTGCTTGGAGTTCATGGGGCTTACGTACACGGCTCATTCAGGGGATCTGTGGGGTTTGGGGTTTTGGTTTTAAGGTTTCTATTTCTATAAGGGTTTCTGTAAGGGTACTATGAGGATGCCGTATTCGTACTTGGAGTTCAGTACAGTTATAAGCACCTTGACCGAGGTTATAACTAGTTACAGGCATAATTTCCTGATTATTAGAACCCGCGCTACTAGTTCCAACCTTTAAGTGGGCAGTTAAACCCTAATCCCCTAACCCCTAATCCCTAAACGGAAAAGTGGCTTGTTGCCCACAGAATTAAATAGATCTGTTGCTCTGATCCCTTCTGGTAAAGCGTAAGGCTGTTAGGTTCCTTTATGTCGCGCATCACTCTCCTGGAGATCTCTTGACATAGCGTTGCCTGCATAAGTGGTGTCAGGTGAATGTTAAAGTCAGTCCAGTCGTGACTTCCAGCATAAAATGGACAACCCTTGTTGTTCTTCCTGCATAAGCCGCGTGTATTCCATCAATTGGTGAGCGGCCATCGCCATGAAATTCGGATGCCCAAAAGACTTGTCAGCTTGTAACGCTTCCTCAAAAGCTGAAAACAACAGTTGTTGCCTGGTGTAACTGTCGTCGTCACCAGCCAGCAATAATCATCCTTTGGCATTCTCATGTTTGTCTGGGCCCATCATCTGCTGCCGGAAACGGTGAGAACAGGACCTGTCGGGGTTTTCCTTGCAGCAAGCTTAATGTAGGGGCCTTAATAATTACCTATGCTATTTTGGGTTTAGGGTTTAGGGTTTTGGGGGTTTGGGGGGCTCCTTATTGTAATTATAACATAAAATACCTCTATTCTAATGATTAAGGCCCATATATTACCAAGGAGATTGCTGTTCCAATGGCATCCGAAACCCTCGAGCTCCGAGTATAGAAGTAGTACCCACCTTGACCTACCCAAACTTATAAGTTTATAAATTGGGTACGAGCGTTTATAACAAGAACCTACAAAAAAGGTAGAGCGGGTTTGGTAGTGTAATGTACTGTGAAGTCCAAAGTCTAAAGTCTACAAATCCCTGAGGGTCCATGTACCCAAATAGTATATACTTTGGCCCCATGTACAGGGAGTATTTTAAGGCCAAAGCAAAACAGATGTAATACTTGGGTGCAGACTATTATATGAAATGTGTTTGCCACCTCCCTCCCCCACTGGTTATTTTTTGTCCGTTCTTGTTTTGTTGGTTCTTGGTCTCGGTGCAGGGGTCGGGATAAGTAGAATACAGTTTGGGTTCATACTCGAAAGTACAATTCTAGAGGGCGATTGGGGAAGGTTAGCAACTGAGAATGCGAACCCTTTCACAATTGTTCAGGGCTCATCGCACCTGACCCTAAGTCCAAGACTTTTATTGCTGAGACCTCTGTCCTGAAGCCTTGCCCTGCAACGAGACTTAGGCACCCTGAACTTTGAATCCTAAACCCCAAAATCGAACTCCAAACCCCCAACCCTGAACCATAAACAGCCCTGAACCTTAAACCCTGAACCCCTAAACGCTAAAGCAGCTTCAAGCCAAGCGTCTGGTTTCGGTCAGCGAGATGGGACATGTCATAGGCCCACGGCATGTAGAGGCCTGAGAAATCTCTTTCTCTTAGCGTCAGCAGCTCGTCTCGTCTTTTGGTGGCCTATGGGTAGGATTTAAGGTTCAGGGTTTGGCGAACCTGATACGACAGGGTCCTTAAATATCAGACTAGGGTTACCGGGGCTCCTGCTCCTGTTGTTATAACAAGGTAATTTGGGGGGAGCATATTGGCAATTATGTATACCTTCAGATCTATATACACACCCACATACACATCACAAGATTCTGCAGCTATGCAGATGTATCGATGCATACCCACATTGATGCCTGGTGTACTTGCAACCTGTGTATGCTAAACAAAGCAAACACAGAGGAACACATATAGATCTAGTTGTGGTTTCAGATAGAGATCTAGACATCGATATGAGAATAGGTGTAGACATAGATACAAATATAGGTGCGCACATGTGTGTATAAAGATATATATATATATATATGTATATACGCACGCGTACAAACATGTATATAAAAACATGTCCATACCCAAACCCACACCGGTTCACATACACCTATATATGCATTCAAACACATACATTCATTGCATACTTACGGACGTACATTGACACCGACGCACATGCATGCACACATACAGGCATCCATGCATACATGCATACACACCTGGAAGATGGGAGGGGGAGGTGGGAGTATCAATACTATCGTCCGTAATATCTGCCATGATTGATTTTTCAACCGGAAAAATTACTTGAAAAAATCTGGCACGTCCTGCAGCGTCTGCTCCGGGCTGCACTTAAACTGCTGGCATCTGCACACAGAGACTCCAGTAACCCTTAATTAAGAAAAATACCTTAGATCATATTAGGGATCCTACTACAATTTAAGGTCTATTCCTTAATTCTCATAGTACCCTTATAGAAACCCTTATAGATTCCTTTGAGGAGCCCTTTAAGGTATGTTCCTTAATTAAGTGTTATTGGAGTCTCCGGGCACCGCAGCTGCTGCCATCGCTCCTCGAAATTCCTCTTCAGGCGGCGCATGCCTCTGCACTGCAGAGAGAGCTTCCTGGGTCCCCAGAGACTCCAATATCCCTTAATTAAGGTACACACCTTGAATTATAGTAGGACGCCGTATATGATTTAAGGTATAAGGTATAATCCTTAATTAATTAAGGGATATTGGAGTCTCTGGGTCCATGCCTATGACAAAGGCAAGCAAATTGGCCAAGTCGATCTGGGTCGGGTCGATTTAGGGTTTAGCTTCCTGCCCCCGTTGCCAGCCACTGTCTCAGGTCTGGCATAATCTCTGCATGCAAATCCAGGCTTGGCTGCCTAAGAGCTTGAACTTATTCATGTGGGCGGGGAGACTGGCCGCAGCAAGGCTACCGTATCAAGCCCTGAGCATAGGGCAGGCACTTGCAGATGACAACCACGAGATCTAGCATAATGACAATCCATGGTGATGTGCGGACTCATCACAAAGATGAGATGGCGAAGATCATCATATGTCATATGCCTAAACATGCCCCAACCCGGAACCCAAGAACCCAAAATCAATCTTATGAACACAAAAACTCTCATCAAAGACTCTATGTGACACACTGGTAACAAACATAAAAAAAACACATCAACCTTCATACAAAAAACGCTTGCAGACCACACACCTTCATAAACGACAACAGCCATTCATAACCCTTCGACGAAACACAATTTGGAGAACTCCGTTCGAGAGACAAAAACCTCTGAAGAAATATACAGTACCTGCATCCGCAAGCCCAGCAATTTAGTAGGTCAAGACCCCATAACTATCGGACCATAACCCTTAAAACACTACAATTCCGAATGCACAAGCAAAGCATATCAGGGATCCTCTTTTAATTCAATGGGTATTGGAGTCTCTTGGTAATCTAGGAGCCTGAATACTTGGGTAATGCTTTGGGGTACAGAACACGCTACGAATCCAAGGAACAGTATTCCCTTTTAAACCCTTCACTGTAATACTTGTTATAGTCACCCTGGTAGAACCGTTAAAGAACCCATCAAGAAAGTCAAACACATGTATAGCCTTGAGAGTAATTCAATACGTTTTCGGATCCACAAGTAAATCATAATAGGGCTCCCTCTTTAATTAAGAGATTTTGGAGTCTGTGGGTAATGTATAGGGGCTTGAATAATTGGAATTTGGTTTTGGGGTACAGCCTACTCCATGTAAAAGGTTCAGGGAGTCCAAGGACAGTACTGCAAATTACTCCGGCCCCTTTGAACCTTTAAGTGTAGTACTTGTTATGGCAACCCTTCTAGAACCCTTGGGAAAACCTGTCAAGGAACCCTTTCACGTAAAGGACACGCTCGACCCAAGACCCTAAACCCTAAACCTTACAGAAACCATGATAAGCCCGTTTAAAGCCCTTAAAATCTGAACCTAGACCCTAAACCCCAAACTCTAAACCCTAAAACCCTGAAAATCTAAACCCTTGAAGGAACCCTTCAAGAAGAAGCCTAAGCTTTAAACTCAGAACCCTAAACCCCTTTAAAAGCCATGGCCCCTGAGGAGCCCTTAAAGCAACCCTTAATTGTTCCTCTAAGGGGGTTTAGGGCTTAGGGCTTAGAGTTTAGGATATTTTGTTTAGGGTTTAGGGCTTAGAGTTTAGGATTTAAGGTGTAGGGTTTAGGGCTTAGAGTATAGGATTTAAAGGTTAGGGTTTGTTATGCTCTAAAGGCTCCTTTTTAGGTTCCTTTGAGGGTTCTTTCAAAAGAGACGCAAAGGCTCCAATATCCCTTAATTAAGGAATATACCTTAAATTATAGCAGGATCCCTAATACGA